GAAGTGTATTGCTGAGTGTCTAAGTATTTGGGGACTTTTTTCTAGTTACCTCCCTGTTACTGGTTTCTAGGTTAGGTCTGAGAGCAGACGTGATATGATTTATATTCCTTAAAATTTGTTTAGGTGTGTTTTATAGCCCAGAATGCGGTCTATCTTGATGTGTTTGTTCCTTGTGAATTTGAGAAGAAATGTGTGTTCTTCTGGTGGTGAGTGAATTGGTCTGTAGATGTCCATTCTATTTCCTTGATTGGTGGTGTTTTGTTGAGTTCGACTATGTGCTTACTATCTGCCTGCTGGATCTATTCACTTCTGCTACAGGGGTGTTGAAGTCTCCACTCTGATGGTGGATTACTCTACTTCTCCTGGCAGTTCTTGCTAACATTTTTCTCACATATTTTCATACTGTGTTAGGTATAAATCCACGGAGAATTGTGTCTTCTTAGAGAATTGACCCCACCATCACTATCTAATGCCCCTCTTTTTCCCAGATAACTTTCCTTGCTGTGAAGTTGTCTCTGTCTAAAACTAATACCTACTTCTGCTGCCTTTTGGATTAGTGTTAGCACAATGTATGTTTCTCACCCACCATTTACTTTTAATCTATATGTGTGTTTATATTGAAGAGGGTTACTTATAGACAATGTATAGTTGATTCTTGTTTTAGAACCACTCTGACCATATCTGTGTTTTAATTAATGCATTTAGACCATTCATATTTAAGTGGTTATGGATATAGTGGGATTAATATCTCCTATCTAACAAATTGTTACTAAAAAAAAATTTTTCCCCTTGTTATTTGTTTCCATTTTTCTCCTTCATCCTTTCTGCCTTTTGTGGTTTTGACTGAGCCTTCTTTATGACTACATTTTCTCTCCTTTCTTAACATATTAGTTCTATTTCATTTACTTTTTTAAGGGTTGGCCCAAGGTTTTCCATATACATTTACAACAAATTCAACTCTGCTTTCAAATAATACGATACCACTTCATGGTAGTGTGAGTACCTCATAAAAACATAATCCTAAATCCTCATTTCTGTCTCTTGTATCACCACTATCTTTCAATTGAATTATGTGTAAGTATATATATATAATATATATAAAAATATACATAATGTTATATATCATATATAATATAGAAAATAAAATTACAGTACATAATATATATTCATAACAACATATAACATTTTATAATGTATACTATATATTACATAATATAAAAGATGTAAGAATATATAATGTAATATAATATATATTATTATGCATAATTCCATTGAAAGATAGTGGTGATACAAAAGACAGGGATGAGGATTTAGGATTATGTTTTTATGAGGTACTCACACTACCATGAAGTGGTACCGTATTATTTGAAAGTAGAGTTGAATTTGTTGTATATGTATGTGAAAAATCCTTAGGGCAAACACTTAAAGTAATGAAGTATATAATATATATATGTAAGAATATATATATTCTTAAATTATATATAAGGATACGTATATATATATGGATATATAAGAATATATAATGTATATAAGAAACACATATGAGAATATATAATATATATAAGGATATATAATATATATGTATATACATTCCTATAAAAATACACTCAAACAGTAAAAGGAAAATAAATATTGAGACCCCAGAATCACTAAGCCAATGGGAAAAGTCAAGCTGGAAACTGCTTAGGGAAAACCTGCCTCCCATTCTAGTATATAATGAAGTGTATATAATGGTATATGTAAGAATATGGATGCATAAGGGGATATATACAATTACATATAATATAGTAGTAATATATATATTCTTACATATATAATACAGTAATATATATATTTATGTATAATGTTATATAGTATTAATGTATCTATAAATTATATAATATATAATTATGTGTAATAATTATATATAATCTTATATATAAATATGTATTATATATAATTATATATGGCATATGTAAGAATATGGACTTATAAGGAGATATACATAATTATATATCCATATTCTTACATATGCCGTATATAATTATATATAATACATTTATATATATAAGAATTATTATATATAATCATATGTAATTATATATATTATATATAATTTGTAGATACATTAATACAATATATAAGAATATTATATATGATATATGTAATTGTATATATCATATATAGGTATATATTTAAGTATATATCATTATATAATTATGATACTTATATATACTTATGTATATACATACATATATACATATATATAATTATATACAGATATATTAATGCAATCTTATATTTATATAATATAAATATACATAGTTATATAATGTAAAATATACTATTAACATGTCTATTAATTATAATGTATAACATATATTATATATATATTATACAGAGTTAAAATTGTTGTAAATATATATGAAAAACGCTTAGGGCAACCACTTAAGGTAATAAAGTATATATATTATACTTTATATATATGTGTATATATATTAAGATTATATATTGTAATATGTTATAGTCATATATGATATATATCACACAATATATAATTGTGTGATATATTATACCTCAGTATATTTAAATATATATAATATATGTAATTATATGTATGTGTAACATGCATGTATCATACATACAATTACATTATATAGAATTATGTACATATATATTACATATTTTATATATTATATATTCCATATATTTTATATGGAATACTTTATTATATATAATATAAACAATATATCATAAAATATAAAATATACATATAAAAATAAATATAATTTTAAAATTATAATTTAATATATAATATATATTATATATTATATGCATATATACATATGTATATGATATTTAAATCATACATTTCAAAATATACATATATATACTATGTAACATATGTTTATGATATATATCATTTTATATTTCATGATATATATGTATATGTATATATTATATAAAAATATATATTTTATATTTATCATATATACATATATAATAAATTATACATACAATATATGTGATATATATCATTTTATATTTTATATGTATATGTATATTCACATACACATATTTATACATATAAAATATATATGATGATATACATGCTTATATATAATGTATATATATTATAAAATTTTATATATTATATATGAAATATTTTGTATATAATATATATAACTTTATATATCTACTATATATATAAATATATAATATACATATAAAAATAAAATTTATGTATTATATATCATAAATATATATTGTATTTATAATATATATCCTATATGGTATAGATTTTATATAATAAATACTTAACATATATAATTAGGATATATAAATTATAGATGTATTATATAACTATATATGATATATAAGCATTCAATATCTATATGTAATTATGTATGATATATAAGATATAAGTATATATGTCATATATGTATAGTTTGTTGTATATATTATATAAAAGTACATATAAATAAATATATGTACATATGCATATATACATATCATGAAATATAAAATATCTATCATAAACATATATTACATAGTATATATAATATATTAAAAATATATATGATTTATACATATGTATGTATACATATATAATACATATATAAAATATAATTTAAAAATCATTTATATTTTATATGTATATATTTTATGATATATAGTTTATATTATATATATCAGTATAAAATATAAAATATATGTAATATATATTACATATTTTATATATTATATAGTATATGTAATATAAAGTATAAAATTACATGAATATATTATATAATATGTAATTTTATATATGAAATATTTCATATAATATATATAAAATACAATATATAATATAAAGTATATATAAAATGTGAAATATATAACAATGCATAATGTTATATAATTATAAGTTTTTATGCCTATATATAGTAGTTATATGTATAATATATGTATATATTAATGCAATTATGTGTATATGTATATGTATATATACTGGTGTATAATAGAATATATAGAATATATATAATCGTGTTATATGTTACATATATATGACAATACATACATATTATGTAATAATTATAACATTACAATATATGATCATAATGACAATATGTATTATATATATGTAAAGTATACTATATACTTAATTAGTTTAAGTGACTGCCCTAAGGTTTTCCATATATTTTCCAAAGAATTTCAACTCTATATTATATACATTATATATTAAGTAACTTATGTTATATATTATATATAATATAATCATGTAATGGTGATATCAATAGTATATTTTATATTATACAAATCAATATGAGTATATATAAAAATATATTTATATATATAAATAGATTGTATTAATATATCTATTATGTAATTTTATCTAATATATAAAAATATATGAAAATATATAAAATATATTTACATGGAAAATATATATTTACATATTTCATATAATTTGTATTTTATGATTTATATTATGTAAAATATGTATAATATAAATATATAAAATATATATGTAATATACAAAATGTATAAATATATGTATTTTTATATGTAATCTATAAAATTACATATTTTGTATATATATGTAAAGTTATATATTTTATATGTAATTTTATTACATTATTTAGGCTCACTACAACCAATTTATACAATATAAAATTATATATATGATATGTAAAATTGTTTTATGTTATATATTGTATATAAATATATATGATATGTCATGTTTATAAAATATAAAATTTAATATATATTATGTTACTACTATATATTTTATTTAATAATATAAAATATATAGTAAATTTAAAATATGTATAATATATAAATGATGTTATATAATTTCATATGTATTATATATGTTATATATGTACATAATTATGTAACATGTATATAATTATATGTATATGTTTATAAATATAAAATAGTGTATTCTATAATATGTATCATGTAATATGTATTATATAATCATAAGTATATATTTATAATATGTAATCATAACTATATATTAAATAATAAATTGAATAGAAAATTTTTTCTTTATATATTGTTACTATATGAATATATATTATGGATAAATATGTGTTACATTATATTATGTGATAAAAATTATACAATATAGCTCATATATATATACAGATATATATGCCCATATATATATTTTTGGATATATATTTATATCCTTATATATTCACATATGTATTCATATATAGAAAAGAATGTTTATATCTTTTTTTATATGTCATTATATGTCCATATACATTTGTATGTGCTTCATTTTATACACTTCATTGTATACTAGAATGGGAGGCCCGTTTTCCCTAAGCAGTTCCTTGTGAATTTGAGAAGAAATGTGTGTTGTTCTTTTGGTGAATCAAGAGCTTTTGGTGTGCAGAAGCTCCAAATATAATATGTAATTATAATATATGTTGGAATATACGTATTATACATAATACATGTTATATATCATATGATATGTATTTAATATATATTATATATGTATAATGTAATATACATGTTAGGTAATATATTATATGTAATATATATTGTGTGCAAATATATAATGTATAAGGATATTGTATATTAGGATATATATAATGTATATTATATATACTTCATTATGTACTAAAATGGGAGGCAGGTTTTTCCTAAGCAGTTCCCAGCTTGACTTTTCCCTTTGGCTTAGTGATTTTTGGATTCCAAGTTTTACTTTCCTTTTACTGTGTGAGTGTATTTTTTAAAAGAACATATATTATATATCCTTATATATTGTATATTATATATATCTTAAATATATTGTGTATTCTTACATATATATTCTCATATATCCATATATATTTTATATATCCTTATATATATGTACTGTATTCTTTATAACAAATATTTTATATATTCTTACATATATGTAATATGTATTTTTATATATTACACATAGTATATATTGTATAATAATATACATTATTCATCATATTGTTTATAATAGTATATATTATTAAGGAAACTCCTTGTGGACAAAGGACAGAGAACTCAAAGTCATCCCTCTGCTTGCTGATATAAATGCATATCTGATACTTTTTTGGAAAGGCTAATCAGAATCTCTAAAGAATGCAACTGTTTGTCTCTTAACTACCTATGACCCCAAAGCCTCCTCAACAGTTTGAATTGTCCTGCCTTTTCGTATGGAACCAGTATACATTTTACATATATTGGTTCCATGTCTCCCTGAAATGTCTAGAACCAAGTGGATCCCTGACCACCTTAAACACCTGTCAAGACCTCTTGAGGCTGTGTCACAGGTGCATCCTTAGCCTTAGCAAAGTGACCATCCTAATGATTGAGACTTGTCCCAGATACTCTTGGTTTACAACACACATAAGCATACATAATGAAATACATTGCTGTCCCTTTGAACAAACTGTTATATGTTAGATCATTCAAGAATAGGAAAAAATCAGTGCTTTTACTTTTTCAAATGTTCTGTCTTTATTGCATTTTCTTTCTTTATGTCATTTCCGTGTCTTTGCTATTGTGAATAATGCTGTGATAAATTTCCAGGAGCATGTGGCTTTTTGGTAGGATGAAGTATTTTGTGTTGGGTATACACCCAGTAGGGAATTGCTTAGTTCAGTAGTAGCTCTGTTTTAAGTTTTTTGAGAAATCTCCAGACTGTTTACAAAATCTCCAGACTGCTTTCCACAGTGCAGTCTGTATTTCCACCAGTAGCGTATTAGTGTTACCTTTTCTCTACAGCCTCACCAGGGTCTGCTGTTTCCTGACTTTTTAATAACAGTCATTCTGATTGGTGTGGGATGGTATCTCATTGTGGTTCTGATTTGCATTTGTATGATAATTAGTGATGATAAACATGTTTTCATGTTTGTCGGCTACTTGTATAATTTTTCTTGAGAAGTGTCTGTTCGTGTCCCTTTCCTATTTTTAGTGGGATTATTTGTTTTTTTGATTGTTAAGTTCCGTACAGATTCTAAACATTAGAACTTTGTCAGCTGCAGAGTTGGGGTAAATGTTTTATACCATTCTGTATGTTGTCTGTTTCCTCTATTCATAGTTCAGTTTGCTAAGCAGAAGCTCTAATTTGATTAGGTCTTACTTGTCCATTTTTGGTTTTATTGTAATAGCTTTTGTGGACTTAGCCAAAAATTATTTGCCAAAGTTAATATCAGGGATATTTCCTAGGTTTTCTTGAAGAATTTTTACAGTTTGAGTTCTTACATTTACATTTTTAATCCATTTTGAATAAATCATTTTACTTAATTGAGATGGAGTCTCTCTCACTTTGTCGCCCTGGCTGGTATGCAGTGGCACAATTTAGGCTCACTACAACCTCCACGTCTCAGGTTCAAGAGATTCTCCTGCCTCAGCCTTCAGAGTAGCTGGGATTATAGGCTTGTGCTACCATGCCCAGCTAATTTTTGGATTCTTAGTAGAGACAGTTTCACCACATTGGCCAGGCTGGTCTCAAAACTCCTGACCTCAAGGGATACACCTGTGTAGTCCTCCAAAAGTACTGGGATTACAGGTGTGAGACACCATGCCCAGCCTTGAGTAAATAATTTTATATTGTGAAACGTAGGGGTCCAGCTTCAGCCCAGAACCGTTTATTGAAGAGGGGATCCTTTCCCTATTGCTTGTTTTGTCAGATGATTGTAGATGTGCAGCTTCCTTTTCGAGTTCCCCGTTTTTTTCTGGTAGTTTACATGTTTGCTTTTGTACCAGTACCATGCTGTTTCAGTTACTGTAGCCTTATAGAGTAGTGTGAAGTCGAGTAGTGTGATGACTTCAGCTTCACTCTTTATGCTTAGGATTGCTTTAGCTATCCACATTCATTTTTGCTTTAATATGAATTTCAAAATGGTTTTCTCTAATTTGGCAAAATATTATGTTGGTACTAAGAAAGGAGTAATATTGAATCTATAAATTGCTTGGGCAATGATAGAGTTGGGATATTTGTTTCTGCCCAGATCTCATGTTGAGTTACAGATCCCAGTGCTGGAGGTGGGTCCTGGCAGAAGGTGTTTGAACCATGAGGGTGGATCCCTCATAGCTGGATGCTGTCTTCATAAAGTAAGTTCTTATGAGAGCTGATCATTTAAAGGTGTGTGGCACCTTCCCCACCTCTCTCTCTCTCTCTCTCTCTCTCTCTCTCTCTCTCTCTCACACTCTCTTGCCCCTTGCATTCTCACCATGGGATGTTGATATTCACTCAGGGTGGCTGGCAAAATATTAAAGATATATTAGGAAGTTATAGATTAGTCTCAAGGCTTTTGGAAGGCTAAAAGTTTATTGGGACAGGCTGAAGGTGGCAGGCCCATTAGGGAGAAAATAGGGACCAGGCTTTCCCAATTTAAGTCTGCTTACCCCACATCCCTTTGTCTCCAGTCTGTTTACTCATGTAAATTTTCTGCTGAGTGGTCCTCTCAGGGGGAGATCAAAGGGGAATTAACTGTTAATAGTGTTTACTCTGGGCCCAGAACCTAAAGCTTTTATTCATAAAACCACTCTTTTAACCATGTTAATTATCCACAAGAGTGTTGACTTAGACCCTCTGATGTGCAATTCATATTGAATAAATGTAATGATGGAGAGGGAATCGTGGTTGATTGGTTGCATTTCGCCCTCTGAAAGCAGCCAGTGGCCATCCCTAGCCCACTCATATCACTGTAATGGTGTGAGAGTACATTCATTCATCTGTCGTTAAGTCAAGGTCGCAGGCCAGACTTCCGCAGGTGGTAGACATCTTAGATGGTGACCCTGATGTGATAGCCGTCACAGCAGGAGCTCAAACGAGGAACAAACCAATGTGATCACTGCTGCAAAGAAGGAACAGCAGACCTCCTGAGACCAGAAAGTACAGAGGACTGTGCGGTCAGGTCAAGAAGTCGTGTACCCACTGGGGATTGCCAAGCTTAGTGAGGCATTGTTTCAGGCTAGGGATTCATCATGGGACAGCAGTTATCAGCTCAACAGATAAAAGTACAGAATGTAATTCAAGCTGCTGTTTCCCAAGGCCCATAGTTCTCGGTAAAGAACACACTGGATGTAAAGCTTTGTGAACAAATGGGGAGAAATCATGCACAAAAGCATCTAATACATAGGCCAAGGCAGGTGGATCACCTGAGGTCAGGAGTTTGAAACCAGCCTGGCCAATGTGTAGAAACCCTGTCTCTACTAAAAATACAAAAATTAGCCAGGCGTGGTGGTGCACACCTGTTATCCTAGCTCCTCAAAGGCTGAAGCAGGAGAATCACTTGAACTGGGGAGGCAGAGGTTGCAGTGAGCCAAGATCACTCCACTGCACTCCAGCCTGGGCAATAAGATCGAAACTCTGTCTCAAAAATAACTAACTAACCGGAATAGATCAATCCATACAGACAGAATGCAGATTGGTGGTTATCAGGGGCTGGAGGAAGGGTGGAATGAGGATAACCTGCTTAACTGGTAAGTGGTTTTACTTTGGAGTCATGGTGATGTTTTTGCAGAACATTGTGAATGTACTTAAATGCCACTGACTTGTTCATTTTAAGATGGCTAATTTTATGTGAAGTGAATTTCGGTTCAGTGAATCCTTTTTCTTTAAAAAAAAATGTGGCTGGGTGCTCTGGCTTATGTCTGTAACCCCAGCATTTTGGGAGGGCAAGGAGATTGGCTCTTTCTGTGACAAATGGCCATTTTGGATATTTCATATAAATGGCATCATACAGTATGTGATCTTTTGTGTCTGGCTTTTTTGACTTAGTGTAATGTTTTAGAGGTTTATTCATGTTGGAGTATTTATCAGTACTTTACTTTTTTCATGACCGAGTAATACTCCATTATGTGTATATACTGTATTTGTTTATTCATTCATCCACTGAAGAACATTTGGGCTGTTTCTGCCTTCTGCTTTTATGAATAGTGTTGCTCTGAACATGCATGTACATGGGCTTATTTTCAGTTATTTTAAGTATATACCTATGAGTGGAATTGCAAGTCCTGTGGTAGTAGTATATTATTGCTATGTTACTGTTAATGATCTTCTGACATGTTAGAGATCAAAGCCAATATCTGCAGTTTCCCCAGAGTATGTGATTTCAGAGTTGTTGGCTGGGCTTAGATTAGGATTCAGAATCTCTTTCCTGTATGAAGAACTGAGTCATAACATTCTGGTCTTATTATTTGCATTTTACTGATGGGATAATTGAAGAACAGCTTCTGCATGGTTTTAACTTCCTATCATTTTGAGAGCAAGTCAGTGATGGAATTAGGAATTTAAGACTCTTAATCATGTTCTTTGTCTAAGATGACCCGTATAAAGCCATGTTGCATTTACATGAAGCTATTTGAAATGGGCTTCCTATATTTTATAATCCCTTGGAGGGATATTGTTCAGGTGGTGTTAAGCAGATGTTCTCTTTCCGTAGAGGACAGGACAAGAGGGAATGAGTTTTAATTGCAACATAAAGGATGTAGATTACACATTAGAGATAACTTCCTGACTGCAAGATACTGAAATGTTGTTACCAAGGGATATTATGAAGTATCTTCTCCAAAGACTTTATTTTTCTGGGATCATTTAGGTGTAAGCTTGTTTGGAAATTAGGGAGATGACAGAGATGACTTGCTGAGGTCCCTGATAACCCTGAGACATAATTGTTTGATGGTTAATCAAAGCAATATCTCTGGCTGGGCACAGTGACTCATGTCTAATCCCAGCACTTTGGGAGGCTGATGTGGGAGGTTCTCTTAAGCCCAGGAGTGTGGGACCAGCCTGGGCAACATACGGAGACCCCGTCTACAAAACAACAGCAACACCAACATCTCTGGTATTTTCATGAGTATATTTTCACTTTTCTCACAATGCAATAATCACTAGAGAGCAGGTGAATTGCTCAAGGTTCCTGGTAAAATAGCAGATTAGTATTCTAAATCTTCTTGGATTCTGCATCCATATTGAATACTCAGGGATATCTTTCTTAAGTGACTCTTTTCTTGGCTATATGATAAGAGTTATGATTCTTCTTGAATCATAGTGATCAAAGCCAGCATCTGCAGCTTCCATAGAGTGTATGATTTGAGAGTTGGCTAGGCTTAGATTGGAACTGAGAATTTCTTTCCTGTTAACATAGCTTTGGTCCCTGGTTATACATGAGGAAATGGGAACATGTTATTAATAATAGACCACGACAGTGGATTCTTAAGGACTGGTTTAGGCAAGAGCCAGTTTAAAATTGCTTAGGTGAGGGTGCACATGACAGGTATTTTTGGCTTACGGTGCCTGGAAAAATAGAAGACTGGAAGATGGGCAAATGAACATTCGATTCTGTTGTAGAATATAAACATGAAAATACTCATTTAATCTTAGAATTAATTGCCAGTTTAAATGCTCAGCTCAGGAAATGCCAAAGTTAAGTTACTCAGTATTACAGTAATGTATCCATCTCAAATGTAGCATCTATGTTAAGTATCTCATAAGGGAGATCTCTTGTCTATTACCAAAATTGTGGTTTTTGGTCCATGAGTCAGTGGCTGGCTGGGAGGCTAGGCTGGGAGGGTGCTATGGTCTAAATGTTTGTGTCTACCTGGAATTTATGTTGAAATCCTCACCTACAAAGTGATGGTATTAGAAGGGGGGCTTTTGGGAGATGATTGGATAATGAGGACAGAGCCCTTACAAAAAAGATGAGAGAGATCCCCTGTCCTCTTTTACCATGTGAGAACACAGCAAGAAGGCACTGTCTGTGAACCAGAACCTGGGCCGTGAACCAGAACATGGGCCCATACCAGATAGCAGTGGACTTTCCAACCCCAGAATGTTGAAAAACAAATTTCTGTTTTTTATGAGCTACCCGTTTTTTTGTTGTTGTTGTTGTTTTTCTTTTGTGACAGAATTTTGCTCTTGTTGCCCAGGCTGCTGGAGTGCAGTAGTGCTCACTGTCTCAGCTCACTGCAGCCTCCACCTCCTGGGTTCAAGCTCTTCTCCTGCCTCAGCTTCCCAAGTGGCTGGAATGACAGGCACGCACCAGCATGGGCCACCATGCCCAGCTAATTTTGTTTTAGCAGAGACGGGGTTTCACCATGTTGGTCAGGCTGGTCTCAAACTCCTGACCTCAGGTGATCCACCCGCCTCAGCCTCCCAGCGTGCTGGGATTACAGGTGTGAGCCACTGCACCTGGCCAGTTTTTGGTATTTTGTTAAAGCAGTCCAAAAGGACTAAGAGGGAGTTATTAATACTAGTGGTACCTTTAATGAAGGATTTCTTAGGTTTATTTTAGTTGGAGAGCATTTACTTGTTCACTTCTCTGCTGCCAAGAATATCTTCAGACATATTTATTGAGCTTTCTTGAATTAGCAACAACTGTTAACACTACAGATTTATCTGTAGAAAGAAACTAACTTTTGAATGTGAACCATGTATAGGGAGTTTTATATTTACTCTTCCATGTAATATTTGTAACAAACCTGTAAAGGATGAGGAAAAGTGAAGCATTATTTGAAAAAGTGAAACGTTTTTTCAAAGGTTATACAGCTGGCAAATGGTAGAGCTGAGATGGAGAATGCAAAGTCTTCAGTTTTTGTTTTTGCTTTTTTTTTTTTTTTTTGAGATGGAGTGTTGCTCTGTCGCTCAGGCTGGAGTGCACTGGCACGGTCTCGGCTCACTGCAACCTGTGCCTCCCGGGTTCAAGCAGTTAGTCTGCCTCAGCCTCTCAAGTACCTGAGACTACAGGCGCCTATCACCACACCCAGCTAATTTTTGTATTTTTAGTAGAGACAGGGTTTCACCATGTTTGCTAGGCTAGTCTTGAACTCCTGACCTCGTGATCCGTCTGCCTCAGCCTCCCAAAGGGCTGGGATTTTAGGCGTGAGCCACCATGCCCAGCCAAGTTTTCAGTTTTAACCAGTATTTTTGAAAGTATTCCTTGGAGGTGCCCAAGAGTTGACCATGCGAGTAAGGAAGAGCTTTAGTTCTCCCACTTTGCTTAAGCCAGAGCAGCTCAACTTCGACCTGTTTCACATTTTAGTGTTTTCACATAAGATGTCATTTGGAAAAAGGATTCCGTTTCTTTAAAAAGAGAAACCCTGGAAGACCATCAATTTGAGGAATCATAAAAGAAAGTTAGCTAAACCAATCTAAAGATTGAAAAGATGACTAAATTACGTAACTGCCAGTCAGGAAATCATGTCAAAGTTTGAAGTGACTTGATATCACAGCCACATGTGCAGTGCAGTTATTCTGCCCTTAGGAGCATTGTACAGTAGGAAAAGAGCATGGACTCAGGTGTTTGTTTTTGAGACGGAGTCTCTCTCTGTCACCCACACTGGAGTGCAGGGCCTCGATCTTGGCTCACTGCAACCTGAGCCTCCCGAGTAGCTGGGATTACAGGCGTGTGCCACCACATCCGGCTAATTTTTCTATTTTGAGTAGAGACAGTTTCACCGTGTTGGCCAGGCTGGTCTTGAACTCCGGATCAAGTGATCTGCTCACTTTGGCCTACCAAAGTGCTGGGATTAAAGAGTGAGCCACCGTGCCTGGCCAGAATACTTCTTTTTTCCTTTTTTTTAAAAGCCAGCTCAGAATATTTCTTTTTAAATCTGGTGGCTACTGGATGTACCTCATGGTAGGTGCTTAGTATGCTTGTTTTTGATGAAGTTAGTCTTTAAAGTGCTATGATTCTTTACTCATAGATGTGTCTGATTGATTAAATGAGAAAACTTAGACTCCATTAAGTTCATTGTTACTGGATTTAAAGCAGTAGCAGTGCAAAGGAACCCTATATAGTGAGTTAAGAGCCCTGGGCTTATGTCTCAGAAATGCCCCTAGTGAGTTTGTAACTATGAACAAGTGAATCTAACTTTTTGAGATACTGATTGATTGATTGATTGAGACGGAGTCTCATTCTGTTACCCAGGCTAGAGTGCAGTGGTGCAATCATGGCTTACTGCAGCCTTGACATTCCCAGGCTCAAGTGATCTTCCTGCCTCAGCCTCCTGAGTAGCTGGGACTGCAGGTGTGCGCCACCATGCCTGGCTAATATTTGTTATTTTTTTGTAGAGATGGGGATTTGCGATATTATATGCCCAGGCTGGGCTTGGACTCAGTGCTCAATCCTCCCTCCTTGGCCTCCCAAACCACCAGTGAGTTTGGTCTCCCAAACAGGAGTGAGCTACTTTATGGCACTTTTCACGATTTTATGTTCAAAATGATGCCCAAGTCACTTTTAACTCTGTATATCCATCATTTGACAAAAAAGTTAAACATACTTTATTTTCATTGCTAGAATTTCCAACATTTACAGGTTATTTTTGGAGAAAGTGCTTTGTGCTGACTTGAGCTGCCAAACTTGTGTTCATACTTACTGAGCGTGTCCACTGCAGAGATTTGTGTAGAAGGACATTGGGGATCTTTTGCTCAGGCATAAGAATTGAAATTTGTGGCTTATAGAATATCAGCAGAATGAAGCAGAACCACTGTAAGGAAGCAAATGTGAGAGATTATCTGTTGCTTTTGGGAAGATAGCTGGCGTTTTCAAACCAGGCCACTCTGTACTTCCTTGATGGTAACACTTGCCACATTTCAGTACAGTGGTTACAGTTACAGTGTATTGCAGTGTTGTCTTCCTACAAGCTCTCAGAGGTTGGAGGCCTTGTCTGTTTGTTTTTTCTACCTCTCTATCCCTCCCACCTGCAGTAGACCTTGCTGCATAGTGTAGACCTCCAAAAATATGCTCAATGGACAAAAATAGTTGAACCAAGATCAGCAGACATATTTAGAAAATGACTTGTACCTACATACTTGCTAAATGTATTGAAATTTTCTGTTGGCATGTGATAGTATAGAAAAACCTGATGAAGGAAAAAAACACAGTGTTGTAGCTTTTTAATCCACAGTTTATCTCTTACTGGCTTAAAAAAAAATATTAACAGCAGTCAAATTATGGTTTGATGGAGGGCAAGTAATATCGTGTTGAGCCAAGGTTTTCTCTGTAAAACGGGAGTGAGCGTGAGCCACTGCACCTGGCCACTTTGCTTTCAAGTTTCCCTCTTTTTGCCCAGGCTGGAGTACAGTGGTGCAATCTCAGCTCACTGCAGCCTCTGCCTCCTGGATTCAAGCAGTTCTGCCTCAGCCTCCCAAGTAGCTGAGATTACAGGTGCCCACCACCACTCCCAGCTAATTTTTGTATTTTTAGTAGAGATGGGGTTTTGCCATGTTGGCCAGGATGGTTGTGCACTCGACCTCAGGTGATCTGCCTGCCTCAGCCTCCCAAAGTGCTGGGATTACAGACGTGTGCCACTGAGGTGCCCAGCTGTATTGTTTTATTTTTATTTTTATATTTTTAGATAGAGTCTCTCTTTTCTCCCAGGCTGGAGTACAGTGGCATGATCTTGGCTCACTGCAACCTCTACCTCCCAGGCTCAAGTAGTTCTTGTGTCTCAGCCTGTTAAGTAGCTGGGATTACAGATGTGCACCACCATAGCTGGCTAATTTTTGTTAGACAGGGTTTTACCATGTTTGTTGGCCAGGCTGTTCTCGAACTCCTGACCTCAAGTGATCACCCACCTCGGCCTCTTAAATGCTGGGATTATAGGCATGAGCCACTGCACCCAGCCTCAGCTGGGTTTTTCAAGTATAGTTTGGCACACAGCGGGCTAGGAATGGATGCTACTAATTGGTTGGGGTTGCAGTCATAGGCACATGGAAAACGGTCCTTATGTAATGAGTCTGCTTCTGGCTAGGGGCTACAGAGGAATCGCTGGTCAGGGTGTGCTCATCTTGTCATCAGAAGTGCAAAAGTCTGACAAGACATCTTAAAAGGGCAATCTTGACTGGGCGTGGTGGTTTATGCCTGTAATCCCAGCACTTTGGGAGGCTAAGGCAGATGGATCACTTGAGGCCAGGAGTTGGAGACCAGCCTGGCCAAAATGGTAAAACCCTGTCTCTACTAAAAATACGAAAATTAGCCAGGTGTGGTTGTGCTTGCATGTACTCCCAGCTATTTGGATGGTTGAGGCAGGAGAATTTCTTGAACCTGGGAGGTAGAGGTTGCATTGAGCTGAGATTGCTTCACTGCACTCCAGTCTGAGAGACAGAGCAAGACTCTTTCTCAAAAAATAAATAAAGCTGTGCGAAGTGGCTCACACCTGTAATCCCAGCACTTTGGAAGGCTGAGGCGGGTGGATCTCCAGAGGTCAGGAGTTCGAGACCGGCCTGGCCACCATGGTGAAACCCTGTTTCTACTAAAAATGGAAAAATTAACTGGGCATGGTGGTGTGCACCTCTAATCCCAGGTGCCTGGGAGGCTGAGGCATGAGAATAGCTTAAACCCAGCAGGCGGAGACCACAGTAAGCTGAGATGGGACCACTGCATTCCAGCCTGGGTAACAGAGCAAGACTCTGTCTCAACCTTCCCCACCCCCAAAAAAACTATTTAATATGCTTACTTTTTTTTTTAATTTCATTTTCTTGAGATACGGCTTACTCTGTTGCCCAGGATGGAATAGAGTGTCGCAATCTTGAATCACTGCAATCTCTGCTTCCTGGGTTCATATGCTTACATTTAATGGATAATCCTAAACTTGTGGCCTTTTATTAGTTTTATAAAGGCGGTTCAGTTTTGAGAAGGGATATTATTATTTAAACTATAAACTAAATTTCTCCTAAAGTTAGCTTGTCCTACACATTTTACCAAGGGCAGTTAAAGGCAAGATGGAGTTGGTTAGGTCAGATCTGTTTCACTGTCATGATTTTTTTACTGTTAAAATTTTAGCAAAGGCTGTTTCACAGTAGATAAAGTTGCATTGAAGCTTTTCCCAGAAAATCCAGAGAGAATGCCTTCGGGGGTAGATGACTCAATCCCCACCCCACTGGGTCCTGTCTGTAATGTGTTTCAACTATTAATGTCTCTCATTGTCATTTTAAGACTGTTATATAAATGGAATTATATAGTATATAACCTTTTGTATTGGCCTTTTTCACTCAGCATAATTCTCTTGAGATTCATCCAAGTTAATATTATCAGTAGTTCCACTCTTTTTTCTTCTTTTCTTTTTTCTTTGTTTTAAAACTAGTCAATAGTTAAGTGAAGCAGTGGGAGTTGTTTTTTTTTTTTTTTTTTTCTTGAGATGGAGTCTTGCTTTTGTCGCCCAGGCTGGAGTGCAATGGCTTGATCTCAGATCACTGCAGCCTCCAACCCCTGAGTTCAAGTGATTCTCCTGCCTCAGCCATCCAAGTAGCTGGGATTACAGGTACCCACCACCACACCCAGCTAATGTTTTTATTTTTAGTAGAGGTGGGATTTCACCCTATTGGCCAGGCTGGTCTTGAACTCCTGACCTCAGGTGATTCACCTGCTTCGGCTTTCCAGAGTACCAGGATTACAGGTGTGAGCCACCATGCCTGGCCAGTTCCACTTTTTTAATTGCTAAATAGTATTTCATGGGATGCATGTACTGTAGTTTGTTTAATCATTCACCCATTGAAAGACATCTGGCTAGGCACGGTGGCTTACACCTGTGTTTCCAGGACTTTGGGAGGCTGAGGTGGGCAGATTGCTTTGAGACCAGCCTGGGCAACAGGGTGAAACTTTTATCTCGCCTGGGTGTGGTGGCTCACGCATGTGATCTAAGCACTTTGGAGGCCAAGATTGGTGGGTCACCTGAGGTTGGGAGTTCAAGACCAACCTGACCAACATGGTGAAACCCCGTCTTTATTTAAAAAAAAGAAAGAAAGAAACTCTATGTCTACTAAAAAATTAAAAAAAAAAAAAAAATTAGTTGGGTGTGGTGGCTAACACCTATGGTCACAGATACTTGGGTGGCTGAGGTGGGAGGATCACTTGAGACTGGGAGGTGGAGGTTGCAGTGAGCCATTGGTCATGCCACCCACTTTAGCCTGGGCAACAGAGGGAGACCTCTTCTGAAGAATAAAGTCTGAATTCCTCTAATTTTTTTTGGCTATGATGAATAAAACTACATCAATATTTGTATACAAGTTTTTTTTTTTTAATTGCATTTTAGGTTTTGGGGTACATGTGCAGAACATGCAAGAGAGTTGCATAGGTACACACATGGCAGTGTGTTTTGCTGCCTTCCTCCCCTTCACCCACATTTGGCATTTCTCCCCAGGCTATCCCTCCCCAGCTCCCCCCCACTGCTGTCCCTTCCCTATTCCTCCCAGTAGACCCCAGTATGTAGTACTCCCTTTTCTGTTCATGTGTTCTCATTTTTCATCACCCACCTATGAGTGAGAATATGCAGTATTTCATTTTCTGTTCTTGTGTCAGTTTGCTGAGAATGATGTTCTCCAGATTCATCCATGTCCCTACAAATGACACAAACTCATCATTTTTTATTGCTGCATAATATTCCATGGTGTATATGTGCCACATTTTCCCAGTCCAGTCTATCATCGTTGGGCATTTGAGTTGGTTCCAGGTCTTAGCTATTGTAAACAGTGCTGCATTGAACATTCGTGTGCATGTGTCCTTATAGTAGAACAATTAATAGTCCTTTGGATATATACCCAGTAATGGGATTGCTGGGTCAAATGGAATTTCTATTTCTAAGGCCTTGAGGAATCGCCACACTGTCTTCCACAATGGTTGAACTAATTTACACTCCCATCAGCAGTGTAAAAGTGTTGCTATTTCTCCACATCCTCTCCAGCATCTATTGTCTCCAGATTAATGATTGCCATTCTAACTGGCATGAGATGGTATCTCAATGTGGTTTTGATTTGCATCTCTCTAATGACCAGTGACGATGAGCATTTTTTCATATGATTGTTGGCCTCATATATGTCTTCTTTCGTAAAGTGTCTGTTCATATCCTTTGCCCAATTTTGAATGGGCTTGTATGTTTTTTTTCCTGTAAATCTGTTTGAGTTCTTTGTAAATTCTGGATATCAGCCCTTTGTCAGATGGGTAAACTGCAAAAATGTTTTCCCATTCTGTTGGGTTGCTGACTCACTCTAGTGACTGTCTCTTTTGCCGTGCAGAAGCTGTGGAGTTTGATTAGGTCCCATATGTCTATTTTGGCTTTTGTTGCCAATGCTTTTGGTGTTTTGGTCATGAAGTCCTTGCCTGCTCCCATGTCCTGAATGGTTTTGCCTAGATTTTCTTCTATGGTTTTTATGGTGCCAGGTCTTAGGTTTAAGTCTTTAATCCATTTGGAGTTAATTTTAGTGTAAGGTGTCAGGAAGGGGTCCAGTTTCTGCTTTCTGGACATGGCCAGCCAGTTTTCCCAACACCATTTATTAAACAGGGAATCCTTTCCCCATTGCTTGTTTTGGTCAGGTTTATCAAAGATTGTATGGTTGTAGATATGCTGTGTTGCCTCCGATGCCTCTGTTCTGTTCTATTGGTCTATATATCTGTTTTGGTACCAGTACCATTCTGTTTTGATTACTGTAGCCTTGTAGTATAGTTTGAAGTCTGGTAGTGTGATGCCTCCCGCTGTGTTCTTTTTGCTTAGAATTGACTTGGCTATGCGGGCTCTCTTTTGGTTCCATATGAAGTTCAAGGTGGTTTTTTCCAGTTCTGTGAAGAGGCTGTCATAGGTAGCTTGATGGGGATAGCATTGAATCTATGAATTACTTTGGGCAGTATGGACATTTTCACAATATTGATCCTTCCTAACCATGAACATGGAATGTTTCTCCATCTGTTTGTGTCCTCTCTTATTTCGTTGAGCAGTGGTTTGTAGTTTTCCTTGAAGAGGTCCCTTACGTTCCTTGTTAGTTGTATTCCTAGGTATTTTATTCTCTTTGTAGCAATTGTGAATGGCAGTTCGTTCTTGATTTGGCTCTCTTTAAGTCTGTTATTGGTGTATAGGAATGCTTGTGAGTTTTGCACATTGATTTTATATCCTGAGACTTTGCTGAAGTTACTTATCAGTTTCAGGAGTTTTTGGGCTGAGGTGATGGGGTCTTCTAGGTATACTATCATGTCATCTGCAAATAGAGACAATTTGGCTTCCACCTTTCCTATTTGAATACCCTTTCTTTTTTTTGCCTGATTGCTCTGGCTGGAACTTCCAGTACTATATTGAATAGGAGTGGTGAGAGAGGGCATCCTTGTCTAGTGCCAGATTTCAAAGGGAATGCTTCCAGTTTTTGCCCATTCAGTATGATATTGGCTGTTGGTTTGTTGTAAATAGATTTTATTACTTTGAGATACGTTCCGTCAATACCGAGTTTATTGAGGGTTTTTAGCATAAAGGCTGTTGAATTTTGTCAAATGCGTTCTCTGCATCAATTGAGATAATCATGTGGTTTTTGTTTTTGGTTCTGTTTATGTGGTGAATTACGTTTATAGACGTGCATATGTTGAACCATCCTTGCATCCCCGGGATGAATCCTACTTGATCATGATGGATACGTTTTTTGATGTGCTGTTGCAATCGGTTTGCCAGTATTTTATTGAAGATTTTTGCATCTATGTTCATCATGGATATTGGCCTGAAGTTTTCTTTTCTTGTTGGATCTCTGCCGGGTTTTTGTATCAGGATGATGTTGGTCTCATAAAATGATTTGGGAAGAATGCCCTCTTTTTGGATTATTTGGAATAGTTTCAGAAGGAATGGTACCAGCTCCTCTTTGTGTGTCTGGTAGAATTCGGCTGTGAACCCATCTGGACCTGGGCTTTTTTTGTGTGGTAGGCTCTTAATTGCTGCCTCGACTTCAGACCTTGTTATTGGTCTATTCATAGTTTCGGCTTCCTCCTGGTTTAGGCTTGGGAGGACACAGGTGTCCAGGAATTTATCCATTTCTTCCAGGTTTACTAGTTTATGTGCATAGAGTTGTTTGTAATATTCTCTGATAATGGTTTGAATTTCTGTGGAATCTGTGGTGATTTCCCCTTTCTTGTTTTTTATTGCATCTATTTGGTTGTTCTCTCTTTCTTTTTTATCAGTCTGGCTAGTGGTCTATTTTGTTGATCTTTTCAAAAAACCAGCTCCTGGATTTATTAATTTTCTGAAGAATTTTTCGTGTCTCTATCTCCTTCAGTTCTGCTCTGATCTTAGTTATTTCTTGTCTTCTGCTAGATTTTGAGTTTTTTTGCCCTTGCTCCTCTAGGTCTTTCAATTTTGACGACAGCGTGTCAATTTTGGATCTCTCCACTCTTCTTCTATGGGCACTTATTACTATATATTTTCCTCTGGAGACTGCTTTAAATGTGTTCCAAAGTTTCTGGTATGTTGTGTTTTAGTTCTTGTTGGTTTCGAAGAACTTCTTTATTTCTGCCTTCATTTTGTTGTTTATCCAGTCAACATTCAAGAGCCAGTTGTTCAGTTTCCAAGAAGCTGTGCGATTCTGAGTTAGTTTCTGAATTCTGAGTTCTAACTTGATTGCACTATGGTCTGAGAGACTGTTTGTTATGATTTCAGTTACTTTGCATTTGCTGAGGAGTGCTTTACTTTCAATTATGTGGTCAATTTTAGAGTAGGTGTGATGTGGTGCTGAGAAGAATGTATATTCTTTGGATTTGGGGTGGAGAGTTCGGTAAATGTCTATCAGGTTTGCTTCTTCCAGGCCTGAGTTCAAGCCCTGGATATCCTTGTTGATTTTCTGTCTGGTTGATCTGTCTAATATTGACAGTGGAGTGTTAAAGTCTCCCACTATTATTGTGTGGGAGTCTAAGTCTCTTTGTAAGTCTTTAAGAACTTGCCTTATATATATGGGTGCTCCTGTATTGGGTCCATATATATTTAGGATCATTAGCTCTTCTTGTTGTATCAATCCTTTTACCATTATGTAATGACCTTTTTTGTCTCTTTTGATCTTTGTTGCTTTAAATTCTATTTTATCAGAGATGAGAATTGCAACTCCTGCTTTTTTTTGCTCTCCATTTGCTTGGTAAGTCTTCCTCCATCTCTTTTTTTGAGCCTTTGTGTATCCTTGCATATGAGATGTGTTTCATTTTTTGTCTTTTTAAATCTTCATTGATTTAAAGTCTGTTTTATTACAAACTAGGATTGCAGCCCCTGCTTTTTTTGTTTTCAGTTTGCTTCATAGATTTTTCTGCATCACTTTAGTTTGAGCTGATGTGTGTCACTGCATGTGATATGGGTCTTTTGAAGACAATATACTAATAGGTCTTAGTTCTTTATCTAGCTTGCCACTCTGTGTCTTTTAAATAGAGAGGAACAACACACACTGGGGGTTGTCAGGCGGTTAGAGGGTAACCTGTCAGGGAGGAGGAAAAGGATCAGGAAAAATAACAGGTACTAGGCTTAAAACCTGGATGATAAAACTATCTGTACAACAAACTCCCATGACACAAGTTTACCCATGTAACAAAGCTGAACACAGTCCCTGGACTTAAACTTTAAAAAGAAGAAAAAGAAAAATTGGTCTAAGAGCGTATTTCCTAATTTAAGGATGCACACTGAATTTCACTTAAAATATACACAAAGACTAAAGTCACCATTGAGAGAATAAAATCTTTTTGTGTATTTTTGAGTATGGGGGATTATACTCAATTGAGTTTCACATTGTCTTTCTTGTATACCCAGAAGACTTTTTTAGTAACTAATTTTACTTTCCTACCTTGGGAAAGAATGTAAGTACTTTTTTGTAATAGTTTGGTCTTATCATCCTTTGAGTTTTATACTCTTTTTCCTCAATTAAATCTTATAATTATCTCACACTACCTTGACAGTGATTATTCTGATTCACCTTTATTATTTCCAAAGCATGCAATTTTCTTAATAGAACTCTTTTTCTAATGATTTTAAGTGCTTATTTAATTTAATTAATGCATGTAATTGAAAAGAGCAGTAACATTGGCTTTAACAGTTTTACAAGAGCTAGCTGAGTCTTAATAAGCGTTAACATTTAATGCAGAGAAGTGTGTGGCTCACTAGAGAATAGCTACAAGCTTAGTGAGTTAAGAGAGCTTTGGACCCTAGCCAGGATGTCTAACAGAGGAGTGGTTCTCAAATATGGTTGATTTTTTTCCCCTCGGTGATTTGGCTATGTCAGGAGACATTGGCACGACTGCTGAGGGTAAAGTTGTTCTTGGTACCTGGTGAGTAGGAGCCAGGGATGCTAGCAAACATCATGGAGGGTACAGGGCTGTCCCCAAAACAAGGAGTTGTCTGTTAATAGTTTCACTGTGACGGTACCTTGTTTACAGAGGAAATGGAGAGCTTCTAAACCTCTGAGCCCTTTAAGAGGAATACATATTGCAAATGCTATTGTTTCAACTACTAGGATTTGTTTGCATCCAGAGGCAAGTTGAAAAGTCCTATTTTCTTCAACCTTTTATATTCCACACCAAAGTAAATATTAGGTTGTACACAGAAAGTACTCCAACTCTTGTTCAGTGATACAGAAACAGGATGCCAAAATGACTTGTTACAAGCTGAAGGGGAGGTAAAAAAATATTATAGTGAAAATAAATATGGAGCATGTGAAAGCCTTAAGAAGGTGGAAAAGTGGCAAAAGTAAAAAATATGTTTCCAAAAAATTTTAGTTATGCTCTCCTTTGTAAGCAAAAATCCCCTTCTATTACAAACTGTTTAAAACACCCTAAAATATCATGTTCTGCTATTTTAGAAGGTTACAAGTATGGTGGCCGATACACAATATGTTTACTCGACATTAACCTGAATTACTACTAAATTTAATCTTGCTTACACATAAATACAAGCTATACTAACAAGTTGGATTGTTTTAAGAAGAGATGAATAATATTGAAAATAATTTTATGCCAATAGGAAAGAATAAAAAACAGGATATTTCTTTTTTTTTTTTTTTTTAAAAAGAAGGGGAAAAAAAGAAAAAGAGGGAAAAAGGAATATTACTTCATTCCTAGAATGGGTTTCAATAATGGCCGATCAATATTTTGAGTGTTTAAAGTGGTTAATGCATATTTTATGTGTTTAAAATGGAGACCTCTATTGTGTTTATTTGTTCTGGCTCTGAGTTCAAGTCCTGGATATCATTATTAATTTGTTGTCTCGTTGAATCTAAATCTCATTATGTGTCTTAGTATCTGGGTGTTAAGATCTCTTATTGTTACATTAATCCTTTTACCCTTGCATCCTTATAGCTTTGAAATCTATTTTATTAAGTGTGAGAATTGCAACTCCTGCTTTTTATTTATTTATTTTTGCTCTCCATTTGGTTGGTCTTTTTCCATCCCCTTGTTTTGAGTCTTTGTGTATCTTTAGATATATCGTTAGATTTTGTGGATAATGTATATTTTGTGTGTTTAAAATGGAGAGCTCTATTGAGTTTATTTGTTCTGGATCTTAGTTCCAGTCCCGGATATCGTTATCAATTTTCTGTCTCGTTGAATCTAAATGTCATTATGGGTCTTATGTATCTGAGTGTTAAGATCTCTTATTATTACATTAATTCTTTTACCCTTGTATCCTTGTAGCTTTGAAATCTATTTTGTCAAATGTGAAAATTGCAACTCCTGCTTTTTATTTATTTATTTTTGCTCTCCATTTGGTTGGTACTTTTTTTTTTTTCCAACCCTTTATTTTGAGTCTATGTATATCTTTGGATATACCGTTAGATTTTGTCTGTATCTTTTGATTGGGAGATTTGGTCGATTTAAATTTAGGGTTGCTGCCATTTGATATTAACTGGCTATTTTGTCCTTTCATTGATAAAAATTCTTCTTTATGTTAATGCTCTTTACTTTTTGGTGTATTTTTAGAAAGGGTCATACTGGTTGTTCCTTTCTGTATATAATGCTTCTTTTAGAAGTTCTTGTAAAGCAGGCCTGGTGGTAATAAAATCTCTGAGTACTTGCTTGTTCCTAAAAGATTTTATTTTTCCTTCAAATGTAAAGCTTAAATTGGCAGGATATGAAATTCTGGGCTGAAAGTTCTGTTGATTAAGTATATTGAATATTGGCCCCCACTGTCTTCTAGCTTGTAGGGTTTCCGTTGAGAGATCTGCTGTAAGCCTAATAGGCTTACCTTTATGGGTAACTTGATCTTTCTCTCTGGCTGCCCTTAATATTTTCTCCTTCGTTTCAATCTTGGTGAATCTAACGATTATGTGCCTTGGGGCTGGTCTTCTTGAGGAATATCTTTGTGGTGTTCTCTGTATTGCCTGGGGTTGAATAGTGTCCTGCTTTGCTAAACTAGGAAAATTTTCCTGGATAATGTCCTGGAGAGTATTTTCCAGCTTGAATTCATTCTCTCTGTCACATTCAGGTACACCAATCAAGCGTATATTAGGTCTTTTCACATAGTCCCATATTGCTTGGAGACTTTGCTCATTCCTTTTTATCCTTTTTTCTCTATTCTTGTCTTGTCGTTTTGTTTCATTAAGTTGGTCTTCGACCTCTGATACCCTTTCTTCTGCTTGATCCATTCGGCTGTTTAAGCTTGTACATATTTCACTAAGTTCTCGTGCTGTATTTTTTAACTCCATAAGTTCATTTGTATTCCTCTCTATATTGTCTATTCTTTGCAAACATTTCATCTAACCTTTTTTCCAAGTTCTTAGTTTCTTTACATTGGGTTAGAACAAGTTCCTTTAACTCCCAGAAGTTTCTTATCATCCACCTTTTAAAGCCTACTTCAGATAATGGAACACAGTCCTTTTCCATCAGGGCTTGTTTGGTTGCTGATGAGTCCTTTTCCATCAGGGCTTGTTCTGTTGCTGATGGGTTCTGATTTTGAGTATACTCGGCCTTCTTCGGCTGTTTTTTCCCCTTCATTGTAGATGACCCGCCTTTCTAATTAGGTTTCTGAGTCGACGTCCGACTTATTGATCCCCAGTGCTGGGATCCGAGCCACCCACTGTGGCGGCCTAAATAGCAGCGATAAGACTGATAGTGCTCTTCTGCCCAGGAATCTCTGGTCTGGCTTCCCTCTTGAGTCCGCAACAAGCGGCTCTGACTTCCCGGAGCTCCAAACTCCGGTCAGTAGGGGAAGCGGTCCCGTTGGCTCTGCATGAAGAGCTGCTGCGCCGAGACGCCGGCAAAACCGCTGCGGCAGCCACAAGAATCGCGCTGGCGACCCGTGGGGCTCCTCCACTGGGAATCGGCTAATCGGTGAGTGACGAAAATTCGTCTAAAGTTGTGGCGTCGTCTCGTTCTCTGAGCTTTCACTGGGAGCTACAATCCTGAACTGTTAGTGGTCGGCCATCTTGGATCGATCTCAGGATATTTCTTTAAAATATATTTTATATGATACTGCAACTCTCTACTTGGAAGACATTTTTACTTCTAGGTTTATAACTAATTTTCTAAAAATTATACTCATTTGAATTTTTAAAAATCATTATGTTTAGTTTAGGATGTAATATTCATAAAGTAAGCAAAATGTTATCCTATCAATAGCTTTACCTTGTTTGTTAAACTTTATACCCAATTTGGAAAGTTGACATACCAGGAGAATTTATATAAGAAGTAATCCATTCACTGTGTGCAAAGCAATTGGCATAACAACTAAGAGATTCACTGTGATATTGGTAGAGGAATTAAAGAGTCATAGCAGAAGTGCACTTCATATTTGCTTTAGTAATATTGGCAGAGAGATAACACCTATTTGAGACTTACTAATGGTGTTTTATTTCTTTCAGCTACATTATACTGTATTTTGAAGGTGAGTGATTTCAGCAAGCTTTGGTCTTATGCCAGCATACTAGCAAACCCAGCAGGGTGGTGAGTGCTAGATAGTTGCAAAATTAATATTAGGAGAAATGTAAGTAATTACATTTAACACCTTAATATTGACTTTTGTCTGGACATTTACATGTAATATTTATTATGCACAAGCAGATGTTAACATTCATGTTGGAAAGGTAAAAATCTTTGGAAAACTAAACATGGGAACTCCCTGATAACTTCACTATTGAATAGTAACATCCTTTTTTTTTGTTTGATCGTCATCTACAAATGACTTTTTAGAATATTATTTGTCTTAATTTGCTTTGAAAACTCTTAAGTTTTTATCCCTGTACTGGTTTTAAACATTATGAAACTTCAGCCCTATCTTTAGCCTGACTGCCCTCTCTTCCATAAGAACCAAGTATTGAGTCACGGGAAGCTGATCATTTGCCTCTGTTAAGATAAATTCATAGGCAGGTCATGGGTCTAGGAAAGTGCCATGGCATTACAGTCTTGACATCAGTGTGTCTGATACAGACACAAGCTCCCCTGAAAAAAAATAGCCCGGTTCTGGAAGTACGCAAACCCTTAAATGTCATTCCAGTTGCAGCATTTATATAGTTTCAAAATGTCACATTTATTTTATGTAATAGCTACTGAAACAGAATAGTATTTTTCTTTTTAAAGGATGAAATTGAGATTTTTAAGCTGAAGGTAGTAAGCCAGATGCTGAACTGGAACTAAAGTTTTAAGAATACAAGAAAAATAAATCCTATCATAGGTAACAGAATGATTTGCAAAGTGCAAAAATAAATTTAAAAAACCATTATGCAGAGGCAATTGAAGTAAACAAAACCACTAGAATCACAAAAATGAAAAGGACTTTAAGTGATCACTACCAAAGCTACTCAGAAGGAAGCTTTTAAAAAGGAACATTGCATAAAGAATGTCATGAATTGAGAATGTGCAGAGTGCCATGGACAAAAACATCATAAAGATAATAGCAGATCCTGATATGATGCTACTTTTTCTGGAAGCTTCCAAGGAATACATGCTAAAAGATTGCTCTATGTAAAAATATTCTGAGATATTTTGAATCTTTGTCCTAAACGTAATAAAAGAGTCCACTGTTGAACCATGAGAGGCTATAGGATGCTTTTACCAATTTTTGGAAAAGGCCTAAGGTGGTCTAAAAATAAGCTGAAAGTTTTTTTTTTCCTTTCTAAGTCTAAACCAGATTCTTATACCTTATAACTCCAAAATGTCCAACATGGTAAGAAGATTTATATGCTGTAACAAAAAACACCAAGAAATAATAAAAGTCCAAGAAAACTTTCAACTGAGCAAGTCTAGTTCATGCAACAAAGAAAAATTCCACAGTATATATTGTCTTTTCCTTTTGGGGTGATGAAGACAAGAAAAATGGCATTAAGGTGAGATACATCATAGCAAATATAATTACTAAATAAAATATAATATAGCTAGAATGTGAGGAGTGTGAAGATGAAGTGTAAAATAAAGATGAAGACAAAAAGACTGTAACTGAGAGAGTCTCATGTTGAAGATTCCAGTCTTGGAAACACTAAGAAAAATAAGAAACAAGTAACAAAGCAGATGAGTGACATGATTATAAACAGAATAAGGTGATAGGGGTAACAGTGGGAACAGTGAAGAAATTCAAGAGATTTCAGGTCAGAAACAGATATTGATTTGATATTGGTGAAAAGAAGAGAGCTTTCTGATTTTGTTTTCTGATTTTTAATGTTCTTTCCAGGTTTTTTAATTTAATATTTTCTGGCTTTAAATATTTATTATTTTTCTGCTCAGGTTTTTTAATTTGGATAATGTGATGAGCAGTGCTGCCAATACTGGAATTGAGAAGTATAAATTTTATGCTTGGATTGTTGGTATAATAAGTTAATTTTTATTCATTTTGAATTTTTGTGTTCCTCTGAAGCATGAATGAGAAGAAATTCCTTAGGTTTTGTATGCAGAAAAGGCATCTAGATTCAAATGTGAATTTGAGGGTTGTCAGCACATAGATAATAATTCACAATGATCAGTAAACTTATTTTTTAAAAATTTGTGCTAATTGTGGTAGGAAATAAACTGCAAAAAGCATTTATTAATTCTATGGACTTACTTTGTCCCGTTTATTTTTCTTTTTATTTATTGAGTATATAGTTGGAAGAAAACTACCTAATAAATTTGAAGGTTGAAGTTAATTACTAAACATTAGTATTTCCTCTCTTAACACTGAGTCTTTCCTTCACCGTTTGTTTACAATGTCCCATTATTCATATAGTCATAATTATATACATTTTGTATTACTCATAAATATGAGTGGTCTTAGTAATATGAGTAATTTATATTGCCCATATAGATATATATAAATATATGAGCAATATATTGTGTAAAATAAAGATGAAGTGTAAATTAAGTGTAAAATAAAGAATATAGGATGTTTTTATTATATAATCTTATATGTATGTTGTCCTACTTTTACTTCCTCTCATTCTAATAAAGAATCTTTGCTTTCTCACTCTTGCCTAGTTCAGAAAAAGAGTAATGGTTAATAGAGCAGTTAATAGACATTTGTAATGTCACGTCAGAAAATGGACAGGCCCTTGCTGTGCTCTGAATGTTGATGTCCACCCAAAATTTATAAGTTGGAACCTCATATCCAATGTGATAATATTGATAGGTGGGGCCTTTGGGAATTTGACAAAGGACCCACCGGCATTAATTAGATTAGTGGGCTTTTCGTGCTGTCTCCAAGTGAAGATGCAATAATAGGCATCACATCATCACTCACAGAGTGACTCCGCTGGAGTTTTGATCTTGAACTTCTTGGCCTCCAAAACTGTGAGAAATACATTTCTATTATTGTATTAATTACCCAATCCAAGGTATTTTATTATAGCCACCTGAAAGGACAAGAAAGCCCCCAATAGGGGGATTCGATTAGAAAGATAACTGCATTTACCCATATCACAGAGAGATTGGCGGTAGGGAGGGAGAGAAGGGAAGCTAGGAAAGAGAGAAAGGCAATTTTATGTACGTTTTTGGTCAGTGTTGTTTTTTGTTAGACATGAAAGGACTATAAAGACAAAAAATTATTTTAGTGAGTTATGAATTTAATATATATTTTAAAAAATACACCATCTATTAATTAGTTATTTTCTTAAATTTGTTTTTTGGTGTAGATATAAACTGCTCTTTTATGTTTCATGAAAGGTACCTAAAAAATAGATTTTTATTCATGGCAAACAGATCTCACCTCTCATTCTACTGCCATCATGGGCCCATGGTAAGGACACAATCTCTGGTCTATGACATACTCATTGCTGGGTAAGATCAACAGGAACAATGAATATTTCTTACCTTTTAAAATTACATCATAAGACAGACTATGTTACTACTGATGCAAGTCATTTTAAAAGTATCAAAAATACAACAATGTGTATCATTAAATAATATGTGTATATGACACTACAATTAGAATTACTGGTATGTTTTCCTTTGCTACTGTAATTACACTCTAAGATATCTGATACCCAGTTTCATCTGTGTAGTTATAGGAAAGTAGTGTTGGCATCCATCAGCTTCAGGAAACATACAATGAATTATCATAATATAAATTATTTGGGTTAGGCTCCATTATGTGTACTTGAAGCTGATGTGTAGACTGATATTAGGTATATTTTTATTCATAACATCTGACAAGACTATCATAATTTTTGAAAAAATACATCAAAGGTCAGTAATCTCATTTTGTAGATTTCAATGTTTTATTGTATAAATTATATATGCATTTGCATAATACATATAGGTACTACATCAGTAAATGTATACATGTAATACTATATATGAACACATGAATATATATGCAAATATGTATAGAAAGAGCAATGTTTGTTTATTAAATACATTGTATCCATCCCAATATTTTCTAAAGAGTAAATATTTCACATTATAGCGAATGTGCTTATAACTACTAACTGCTATTATAGGTCAAAATCTTGCTAAACGAGATATTTTGTTTTGCTCAAAGAAGTTACTATATATTATTGGTAGCCCATTTGGAGACAGTTCTCATCACACATATATTTTTTTCTTTCTTTGTTATTATTTCTTTCTATATTATTCTATGTTATAAGATAAGCCACATTGTTTATTTGTATATTTTCTAAATCATAATGGTAATAAAATTCACGCTTACAAATATGTATGATTAAAATAGATACAAGGTTATATATCACAGTTCCCTAGACTACATTTCTATGACACAATGTCATCTTCTGATTGATTGACTGGTCTATTGTTTAATACAGAGATGACTGAAAATATTTTTATCAAGAGACATCCTGCACTTTACTGAAACTCAGAAAAATATATTTTCAGCTCTGTTTTGGTGTCTTTTAGCTCTCATTTCCACTGATACATTTGTTACCACTTTCTATGAAGGCCATGAGAGAAATGTGAGTAAAATATAGAAAGTTTGAAATCTATCCAAACCTTGTTAAAGTATATGGGATATGTGTATGCTAATTACCTATGTCATCAGAGAACAATATAACAAAAGTATCAGTAATAGTAGCAATAGTTGAAATGCAGGTCTTAAAAAGGTTAAATATGTTCAGCCAGAGTTATGTGAATCTTTTTTTTTTTTTTTTTTTTTTGAGAAATCTTTTATTAGAAGATGTCCCAGAAGGCAACATTTTAAAATCAGGCAATCAGTAATCACAACTAAAAATGAAATTTCAGATGAACTTGCCTTTCAAAATAAATCAGACCCTTGCAACAGAATTGCCCAAGAGTCTTTTTCTTGTACAAAAACAGTTAACACCACTTTGCAAAAGACATACAAAAATACAATATTAAAAAAAAAGACTCCCCCCAGCATGATTCCCAACAGCAGCTTATAAACACAAGCTATTCAGGTGAGACATCAGTAACCTACACCCAAACTGTCCTCCATAGACAGTTCCAAAGTCAGCTGGCTTTTGTAAACCATGTTCCAGAGGTTAGAGAGGCTATTTCCAAACATCCCCTGGGGTCCTTTGAGGCCAAGAAGCAACCTCAGAAAGAAACCATTATGGACAATAGATTTGGAAGTAGCAGCTGGTTTTCCAGAGCCACATATAGTACTTACCATCCCTTACCCACCCCAACTCCCAAACCCAGAGCCAGGAGGCACCTGCTATCCTGGGCAGAGTTCTGGACAGGCTGCTGGTCCTTCTTCCAAGACAGGCCTAGAAATGCCTGTGGTTACCCACATGACAACTGCTAGGTTGGGTGACTTTCTCAGACTGGAGGCTGCACCTGGATTCCACTTGGAGCTGTGAAGTCCAGCTGAGGCAACCATGATGGATTCATCATGGTTGGCTAAGCATATCTCCTGGGGGCTCCTTTAAAACCCACCGGAGGCAAGTCCACCTTCTGGAGCACTGGATCCGGAATGGCTCTCCCCAAAACTTCAGAAAGGCCCAGATTCTGGGAAAGAGATATCATTCATGGCAGGCTGGCTGGGGCCCAAGGGTGGCTGCAGAGCCAGCAAGTTCCTTGGAGTTGCACAAGGAGGACAGATTTGCATGGTTCCAGAACTTCAAACTTGCCGGTCAACGACTGAAATGAGAAGCAGGTGAGAAGAGGAAGCTGTACAGTTCTCCCTCTGAGGGGTCTTACACCTGCCTTGAGAAAAGATTGGGCCTCAAGTGCCCCTCTGAAAACACATGGGTAGGGATCAAGTTCATGAGCCAGGACTCCAAGCTTGCCCGAGGCCCCAGGCTAGGACCCATTTCCCTTTGTCTTGGGGAAATATTTCTGACCTGTGGGAAAGGGTGCTGTAGAGCCCATTGCATAACAAAGGCATAATGAAACAAAAAATCCCTTGTGAGGAAAGAAAGTCCCTCCCTCAGAGGAGGGCCCAGAGGGCTCTGACTCAAAGAATCTAGAGGCCAAGCTCTTTAAATGTTCCCAGGGTCACAGCATTTAGAGTGGGAGGAAAGGGGTCAGCTAACATATATATATTAAAGGTTTCCAACTCCTCGGCTACTGTAAAGTGTCTGACAGTGAAGTAATGGTCCATGTTAATCAAGTCTGCGAGCTTCTCGTCACCTAAGACAGCTCAAGTGTCTTCTGGAAAAAGGAGCCTCAGGGAGAGTATCCAGACCCAGCTGTCCTTGCGTCACCCCAGAGACACCAGTTGGGAGCATCCTTTCCTAGCCTAAAGCTCATGCAGAGTGTGAGATTTCATGCAGGCTGGAGCCCCTGACAACATCCACCACCTGTTGCATAGCATCTGTCAGCCTTTTCTTCAGAGCTAGTGAGCTAGGCAGACCCCAAGGCTCCTCAGTCAGCTGCCTGCTGGGAAACCAAAGGCGCCAGAGAACATACAGCACTCCCATGAGTCAGGGAAGAGGGAGAACTGGGTTTCAAGGTTTCCAAGAATGCAAGCCTTTATTGTGCGTGCACTGGCTGCAATGCATTCTGGGATCTGTCCAGACTGTCTCGCCATAACCAAAATGTGCAAATTACTAAAGGGGACAGGGAGGTTAAAAAATAAACTTGTGTCTTTGTAGGACAGAACAATGAGGCTTTTTGGTCAGTTAGTAGCCACTGAGGTATGCAATTCTTTCCTGCAATGGCTGCTGCCGGTATCGGTGTTGCCTTTTCTCGTAGCCATCCTCTTCTGAGTCCCCACAAGGGCTTGCAAGTATTCCAAGGCCTTGCTTAGGATCACTACTTTAGGGGCCTTAGAGCAGCTGGCCAGGGTGGGCACCTGGTCCCTCAGGGCCAAGAACCGCGAACGCAGGTCATTCTGCCTCTTGCGCTCCAGGAAGTTGTGGTTCTTCCTCTTGGTCACATCCTCAGTATCAGAACTGACAGGTTTGGGGTGGCAGGACTAGGTAGTCTCACTTTCTACAGGTGGGGGGCGCTCACAATATCTTCATCCTCCTCATCTTCCTTTTCCCCAAGAGGAGCATCTCTCTCCAGAGCCTCCTCTTGGGGACCCCTCTCTGGAGCCTCTTCTGGGGAGCAGCTTTCTGGAGGAAAACGGGCAGCATAGTTGTGCTGTTGCCGATGGATGGAGATGAGGAAATGCTTCATGCAGGGATCCAGAGGGTCTGC